TGGGATAGTAAAGCATCCATTCAATGCTCACTTCGGAATCTTGCCAGAAGTAGAAGGTAATCCAGGTACTTAACGGATACTTTTTGAATACTATGAATTTACTATTCATTTGACAAACAGTTTTTTTGCTTATTGTATAGTAGTAAATTATTAAATGTAGTGCCTGTACTACTACTGTTTTCAACTTGATTATGTAAATTGTGCTTTTTCTTATATTGAGTACAAACTTACACTTAGCCAACTACCTTTTTTTTTTTTACTGTGGTATGTAACATCATGTGAGCGGCTTTAGAAAAGGCAGATCTCTCCACACACTTTTCTCCACACCAAAGTGTAATACTTATTTGTAATATTTTGGGTTCGAAGCCCAAATCCAAAATATGATCAATAAGCTTGCCTTAGAAAGCACCATTAATAAGCACATCAAGATTGTCGAATAAAATGAATCTCAGTTGCAGCTACATACTATATAAATGCAAATGACTCAAATTAGCAGCTCTCTTATCAGTTTTGAACTCAAAAGCCCCCAGACATAAACCATTTAACCACTCGCTCTGCTCATCTAGATTAACGGGAATGATAAATTTTGTAATTAAAAGCTTATTTCATTATTATGGTACTCCTTAGCAAGAGGGAAAATAAGACTCAAACTGCAAGGTCAGTAGTCTACCAGGTGACAAATTGGGTATAATTTGGTATAAGGTGTAGTGAGTGACTAACTGATATATTGACAATTAAATGGATAGTTTATCAGAGGCCCTGGAGTAATGTCCTCCGTAGAAAAATATCTATGTCAAAAATGACGTATATGGCCAAACATCCATGCTGTCTGACCTTTCTCCCCAGCCCCGGAAGGTTGCCTCAGTCCGGGTCAGATCTGTTCTCCCCTCCTCTGGAGCTCAGCCTCGGGTATAGACAGAAAACGGGCCGTCAGGGTGTTGGTAAGCGGGTGACAAGTTGGACTTTGAAACAGACAACATCCAGCAAAGCAGACTGAGGGAATGGCGCACTTTAGCCCAGAGAGAGTGCACTTGTTCCAAACCTATATGAATTTCTTTCTTCTGCTGAACACAAAATGGTAAATAGACGGCATTTAAATAGCACCTTCACAGACCCAATGGCCACCAAAGCACATTACATTTTGCCTCACATTCCACTATTGTGCCAGCAAAAGATGACATTTTGAAGAATGTCGGAAACCAAACAGTTTATGGGCCCCATTGACTTCCATAGCAACATGACATCATGACTTTGTTTTGCGAAAACATACATGCCAATTTCAAGTCAAGTTGCGTGTTATCTAAACGCATTTTGAGCTTTCTGTGTGTATGCCTGAATGTCTACCCCTTTAAATGTCCTAGTGATTCCGCATGTATGTACACGCCGTTAAATGTCAGAGCGAAACTATAGATCTACATCTGGGGAGCGATTTTTTTTTTCCTAGAATGGCAGGGGAAAGACTCAAATGGTATTAACCCCAGTGAAGGGTAGGTTTAGGGGTGGGGTTGATTTATACATACAGTAATGTAACGTTAAGTTAACGGCGTTCATAAAACACGCTGAAAAGCGATTATGCGTGTTGATAGCACGCCAAAAATGGAAATACAAATTGCCGTGTCATACATACGCCATTTCATGAGATCAGTTTGTCGATAGAATAATAAAAAAAATACTATCAACTGTTTGGTTACCGACATTCATAAAAATATCTTCTTTTGCGTTCAGCAGAAGAAAGAAATTCAAACAGGAATATGGAACAACTAGAGGGTATAGTAAATTCAAACAGGTATATGGAACAACTGGAGGGCATAGTAAATTATGAATTTTCTGTGAATTTTAATTTTAAATTGCTAGTAGTTGATGTTCTGTGGGTTGGTTGCTTTTAAACTAAAGGGATACTACACTTTTTTTGGAAATAGGCTCATTTTATAACTCCCCCAGAGTTAAACAGTTGAGTTTTACCGGTTTCAAATCCATTCAGACGATTTTCTTATATTTAGAAGAATGTCAGTAACCAGACAGTTTCTGGTCTCATTGACTTCCATAGTATATATTTTTTTCCTACTATGGAAGTCAATGAGACCAGAAACTCTCTGGTTACTGATATTCTTCTAAATATCAGAAAATCGGCTGAATGGATGTGAAAACGGTTAAACTCAACTGTTTAACTTTGGGGGAGTTGTAAAATGAGCCTATTTCCAAAAAAAGTATCCCTTTAAGCCTCTTCACTCCCATTGGGAGATGCTTGATATCTGTATAAATAAAGTCAACCCTAATGTTGCATTAATGCATTTGCCAGACACTCATCCAAATTAAGCGATTTAAATTGCATTCAAGATGATCAATTTTTATTAGCTGATGTATTCCCTGGGAATCGAACCCATGACCATGGTGTTGCAGGCACCATGCTTTATTTGAGCTACAGACATGCAACTTTGCTGAACCATAGCGCGTCTACAAACTGCCAACTTTTATTGCATCATATCTACTTGCAATGTAACTTCGATCACTACAAAATGCTGTCAATGTGACATCATTATGCCTCACTGTACTCTTAAAAAAAGGCATCGAAATTGCTTCTATTCACCTTATTTCTTTCTATTAATCTCCCTTTCAATTTGTAATGGGTATGCGATAAAATATCCACCACACCTCCAATTTACTCCAATAATAATTTCAATTCACACTCCCATACCAATGGCAATTGCACTAGATCTCCAACCATTATTCTCAGTGAAAAGCTCGGATCTATGGAGAGGTGACTGAGTCACCACTGCGTCTGCTGGCTGGGTTTGCTGCAGGGAGGCTGATACCGAGGTAACAGGATGGGTAATTAGGTTGGAAGTCTGAGTCTCACAGAAAGACCCTCTTGCCCTTCCCCTGCTAGACTTTTTTCAATCCTCCTAAAACTAGAGCCGAGCTGAAGGCAAGACACAACAACCGCAGAGGGTCAAACATGAGACCAGAGAGAGGAAGAGGAAGAAAACTGCAGGTTGGAAGGAGAGAATAAGCAGGCGATCTGAATTACTAAGACCTACATAGTAGAGCGAGAAAGAGACAGCCTGTGGTGGTCAGAGTTGTGACTAAAGCGCAAGGGACGTGTGGGAAGCCTACGGCTCGGTAAACCGCACACTCTCCCACCCCCACACCTTCTTTCAAGGCAACTATTTAACATAAAAATTGATTTATATCGAGCCCCAAATTGCTTCCGAGGGATTCGCTCCTGTGGAAACGAAGACGGGGGTCTAGAGTCAAGTGCGTGAGCTAATGAGGCCCAGGGTTTCCATGTGAACAGGCAAGAAGAGGAGCTGCATGCGCAGACATGTCAGCTCAGACCACAGCAGTGACCTGTGACAGACCGCGGTGTTTCAACTACATTCCCAACAAGGAGCGATCTTTAAAAGGTGATTCTGGGGTTAGCTTGAGGAGGCGGATTTGCTTGGAAACGCTAATGATTTAAAGCATAAACTACATAAACTGCAACAACTTTCCACATGAAAATGCTCCTGAGGCTTTGCTGCCATTTCAGTTTCACTTCGAGCGATCATATTGGCAGCAGACCAGTGAAGAGGAAGGATGAGAGCAGGCGGATTTGCACCGTCAGGCGTGGGTTGCAGGTCAACATGAGAAGTTTCCTTTTTAGTCATTTAACTTCGCCAGACTAGGCACTGAAAACACAAGGATGGAAGCAATTACTCGTCTATAAATAAATGAGATTCAATTCTACGGTTCTTCTGCAAACACTGTGTTTATCACAAGGAAGACATGATACTTCCTCTAGAACTTAATGCTTGTTGAGCATAGCCAAAGGGCAGACTGGCGCCCACTCCCCTTCAAGCTGCGTAGCACCCTGTATGTCTCATTGATTCTCATCTGTTGCATCAGATACCTGAGCACACTTGCATTAAACACACATTCCATTAAAACACCACAATCACTCAACAGACCCTGCTTACATCAACGTTTGGTCCAAACATAGTTTTCTAAGTGCCCGGCCTGGGAAAGCACATCCTCGTTGCGCATTAAAAGTATTCAAGACTAAATGGGAGTCTTTAATTATTTATGAGGGCCACACAATGCAGATGTCTTATTTATCCTCACTGGTTTCAGAATGTGCTCAGCACAGCAACCAGCAGGATAAGTAGTCATTACGCAGATTGTCTGATTGTTGCTTGCACTTTCAATGGAAGTCTATGAGGATTCCACACAACAGCTGCTCCACGGACATCCTTTGCAAAAGCATTTCTGCTGATTTTACAAACTTGAGGTACAAGCCAAAATTATTTTCTGTGGTAATATAGAACTTAACCATATTAAAAGCATAGTTGTATTTGACCATAAATGTTCCTTTAACCAGAGAAATTGGGAGACCCATGCTGTCTCCTAAAAATAACCCCCTTATATAGTGTAGGTTCCCACTCTTTTTCAGTGATCATTTTCAATTTCACTAGCAGGACTTAAATACAAAGATCATGCCCTAAAGTAATATATTTCTCTCCTAACAAGTTTTTAAAAGACGTACAGTTCATGGCCATAACAACTGGGAACCCTGATAGCAGACTGTTTGAGGGAACAGCCATTTGTTGTTGTGTCTGAAACCATATCAGAGCGCACTCATTCAATCCCATAGACAGTGGGTCTCCAAGAGCAAGGTTTAAGGTTTTAGGGCTAAAGACAAAGACAGCCACTGACTTCCAAATTGAAACATTTAAAAGCTAAATGGCATAACAAATTAGAATCGTTTCATACAGAGTTGACTGAGCGCATTGCTTTGCTTCACTGTTTGAACTACACTTATTACACGATAAAATGATTTAATATCACTCAAAGTTGCTGCATGCAGGAAACTGTCAAAAACATTTCCCGATTACCAACAAGATATTAAAAATACCATTGAACATGGTCAGATTTGCACCCATTTATTCAGGCCAGAACCCTGAGGAGAACAAGCTAATCGAGCTATCAAGAAACATGAAGACAAGCTTTGAAAGACACAGGAGCCAGGTCTAGAATATATTTATTTGTTATTTTTGACATTACAAAAGAGATAAAAACATATGCAAGGATCTTAGGAATTCACTTTTTTAGTCATAAGTAATCATTTGCAGGCTGTACGTGCACTTCAATACACCAACTTCCAAAAAAGTTTGAATAACTTTCAATAGTGAAAAATTCTGTCCGCTCCCCCAAGTGACTGAAAGGTTTCACAGCTCCAAAGGCATTAGTTTTCTTCTACAGAAATAAGGGCAACAGCTATGCGGAAAGACAAGCACTTCAATAAGCTTAAATCCAGTTTAGCTGCATTGAAATACAGGCTCGTCAATCTCCTTAAGAAAGCAAAAGAATACAGACTCCTGGCACTCATCTCTAATCAATTTCATCACTAAACCCAAGATATCCCCATGGTTTGCTGACATTGTTTTAGGTGTGTCTGCTTATGTGGATGCTGGAAAACATGCAATGGAATATTTAGTGACAGGTGGAGGTGTCCAACTCTTTGTCCTGGAGGGCTACGGATTACTCAAGCCAGATTCCACATGGATGGATTTAATTTATATTCATCAAAGCACATTGAGAGAGACCTTTAGGAGGCTAAGTTATTACCAGCATTTGACACTGAAGGAGGTGGCCAGCAGCCATGGTTCTCCAGGACACGAGCCAGAAACCATCACAACTCCTCCCCATGCACTCAAAACCCTGACTCCCTGGAGTGTGTGCACTGGTTAGGTGTAAAATCAACAAAATAGCCATGCAAGACGACAGACAGACATTGGTGTGAGCATTTCATTTGCATTCGTAAAGCCATGCTTTCTTTTTCAGTATGCACAATGTGTTGTTTCAGAACACAACACATGCGTTGCACCTTTCCCAAGCAGCAAGTCACGTACGCAAACAGATATGACCGTAAACAGACACATTTAGTGCACACAGTTGGGTTGAAAATTCCCTTCTTGAGACTGTGTTCTTTAACCCCTAGCATCGGTCCAGAAAATAAATATTTCCATTATCTGCTTTTGCGATTTCTCATTACGGTGAAGCCTGCATAAACATCGGTCAACCTTCTAACCACGTGGACCCATTGTTCGACACCACTTGAGCAGTGGCTGATGCTTATTAAAATCTGTGCAGAGGACAGATTTGTCTCTAATGCAATAAGGCATTAGTCCTGTTAGCCAGTCGGCAACCAGTGGCGGCTCCGCGGGGGACGGACACACTGTCATCAGCAGTAATTGGTCAGAATGACGGGCTCGAATCGTACGTGTGCTGAGGTGAAAATGAGCAAAAGATGAAAGCTACAGCAATACACACTGACAGTGACGCATATACATGCAGTGCTGAATTCAGACTCTGCACAGCAAGGATTAGAAAAAGCTGAATTTATGGAAAGCTCTCAATTAGGGCAAGAAAGACCTTTATCCAGAACTTAAAGTAACAATGTTAGTATGATTTAGATCAACTTACTATGTTGCGAGCCCCAGGAGATTTTTGCGTTTGGTTCATGATAGAAAAGACAGTTCCGGCAGCTTAAACCCATTCAAACATGACAAACCATGGCATTTAAAGGACAAATCTTTGCTAAGAGATAGGGGCTGGACAACTCTAAATTAGCATGTACGTTCCTCTGAGCAAAGAACTGGGGAAGACATGCTTGTCCTGCAGAATAAAGCACTGGAGGATTGTCTGAGGTAGACGTTTAGAGAGCACGGACAGAATTTTTCGAGCTTGTTAAAATGATTTCTTGGCCAACATGAGCAGAAGAGGTCAATTTAAAGATGAAAATTTTAAGTTAAGTGTGCTTAGAAAGCACTTGAGGTGAACAGTAAAACTTTTCAGTACAGAGAAATGACTTTCATAACCACTGGAGAGCAGACATACACAGCACCAGACCTCAAGAGTAACCCTTTTAAGAGGCTGCTGGTTTAAACTTTAGCTGACAGGACCATCGATTTTTGCCATTCCACCCCATTCAGAAGCTGTCCAGTCAGACCGTCCATGGTTCCATAACGACTGCTCGTGTTCAAAGGTAAGATTGCTCTTACACTGCAAACAAACACTTGTCTTTTCCTGTAGGAGAATTACAAGTCCATCAGCAGGTGACCAAAATAGGGAGCACACACACACACAACTCTGAGCCAAACATCTGATTCATCTCGTATGATATCACAATCACATTAGGCCACTGAAGCTACCAGTAATTACTGAGCTGAGTATATAGTGGAAACCTGAAGCAAGCCCATTAGGGCAGTGCAACTTTGTACCATTTAGGACTTCTTGCAGAACATGCAGATTTGGAAAGCTTTGACTCATCAGAATGGGAATGGACCAAAACTAAAGAGAACAGGATAAAGAAAGGATAACTGACCTGGGGAGAGGTCTGATACTCTTGTTTAAACTTTCCATTTCCAGGAATTTCCAGGCATCACAACCTGAGGGAAGAGAGAACACAATGAGCGAACAACCAAACATTGCGACGATAAACTATATTGTATTGAATAAACTCATGCAATCTTCCAAGATTGAGTCATGCAACTCAAGCTTTCCCAGGTAACATTTTCAGGTAAGACATTGAGTTTTTCAATACGTTAAACAAATCGCAAAAGAAAAAAACAGGAGCAGCATTACAAACATAGATGGATCTAGATTTGACACTGAGCACTTTTAGCATGAGTTGCATTACAATTCTGCTCTAGAATATTAGTACACAAATATTATTATAAGCAAAATCTATTACTGCGTGTTTGTATATTTTTTTTTCCACTTTACTTTTATATTTTTAAACGACTGAATATTTTTAAATCATTGCACGCCGTTACCAAATACTTTTAATGTATAAATGTAACATTACTCACAACTTTAGGGTTAGGGTTACCTTTACAATGCTGCACTTAAGTTTAACAGTCCTCTCCTGCCCTCTTTACTAAAAGCAGCCAACGTGTCTTTGCATCAGACTTGACAAATATGGCCCCTGCAAGCTTAACTTTTAAATTCAAATTATTTCAGGCTTTAATACATTTCCCAATCTGAGAGAGACCAAAAATAGAATGTCATTCAAGAAAAGTTTAATACATACCCAAGCATCGAATGCTTTAGTTCTCTCTACAGACATTAGGAAGCTATCCAGGTTATTTTAAAGAGCACAGGTCTTACCTCTAGGGTCCTTTTTAAGTATAAAAAGAGAGAGAAACATTAAAGGTGTGCTTTTAATTGTCAGATCAAACACTTTAAACAGACTCCTTTAGTGTAGTTTACGTCTTCAGACTACATGCATTGTTTTAAATTTAAAATCTGTTTTTGAAGAGGAAGAATGGTTGGAACCGAAGGTTATGAATTATTTAAAAAGGCCATTTCAGATTTTATGAAGACAAAGAAAAATAAACCAGGTTAAAGTTTCATAAAAAACAATCTAGGCTTTATTGACAACTGCTGCAAAACATGTTTTGGACAGATTTAGTTACCTATTTAGGCAAGCTTACACATGTCATTCTGCATTTTATGGAGAGGATACAAATACTAAATGGCAGTAAAGTACAGTTTGGATGGGAGTTTTTTTTTTTCTTTTTCCTTTTTTAAATTATATACAATAGTCGGTTTTAGCTGCAGTATCCCTTTACATAAGAAAGAGATGACCCTTGTGGAGATTGCTGTCCAAATCCTTTTTTTAAAAGCAGTTTTTGCATGCAGTTTATATAGCATGGTGGCATCCATGATAATCTGACTTTTGATTATTATTATTATTTTTTTTTACTTAAGTAGCCAAACATGGGTTATTCTACAGAAGAGTTTTGAAGAGTAACATCTTATTTTAACAAATTAAGGATTTGAGGACATTCCATCTCAACAGCGTCTAATTGGGCTATATTTCAAAACTCTAAAATACAAGGAAAAATATTGAGGCCTAAATCTACATTTACAGCTTTTAAGACTATTTAAAATCAAAAGATGAATAATCAATGGCTGTTGGAAATAACATTAAAGACATTTTGACTCAGTAATTTATATTCCTTATTACAAAACAGACATTAAGTTTAGGGTTTATTTGATATGCTAGTATTAAACAGAATTTTGAAATGTAGCCTACATGGGAATCTGCAACTGCACCTCAGCAGAGTTTTTAAGGTAACACAAATTAAAGTGGTGTCCTGAGACACAAAAAGTGGCTGTACAGTTGTTAGGGATTACCTTTCAACTAAATACTTTTTCCAATCACTTGACAAACTTTTACCATCGACAAATGCAAAAAAGCAAGGGTAGGTATGAGCAGAGGAAAAGATATTTGCAAAAACAAATAAAAAACAGCAATGTTTAAACTTTAATCCCTTCTAAAAGTTATATCGATTCTTGAGGCATTCGAATGCCGTTCCGTCAAGTTTCTGTAAAGTCCGGAGTAAAAAACACAAAACGAGAAAAAAAAAGAAAAGAAAAAAAACAAAACAAAAAAACAGACAATTACTTTTGTCGGGTAGCTTAAAGTGTGAGCTGCCATGGGAGACAGTTATGGCGACGCGTTGGGTGACTTTCCGCTAGTCAGACTTAGTATCGTCCATAAGGGGCTTCCCTGAATCCAGGCTTAGTCGGTCTCTGAGTGGGAGCTTTTCCACCACCAACAGCACGCTGTGTCCCGTTCCAGTCATCTTGAGCTACAGGAGCAAACAAGTGCAAAAAAGTAAGAAAGAAAGCAAGCAAACAATAGCATACCAAAATGTTTAAATAACTGAGTTCACATGCATGTCTGTGTTTGATTGGTTTTAAACTCAAATTCACAGGAATTATTTCAATTTAAAAGGCAACTGTTCCGTTACATTAGCATTATCAATTGTAATAGCTAATACAAAATCTCACCCTTTCATTAACTACAATAAATGTTGAAAATGAAACTATTATCAACAGAAAATGAGGGAGAACAACTTAATTGACCCTACAGAGTGACAAAAATTCAAAAGCAAAATTCTTACCGTAGTTTTCATACCCCTCTTGTGTCTCTCCGTGTCCATAATCATAGTACTCTGGTTCTCTGGAAAAAGAACAAACACCGTTCAAACTAACTCTTAAACGAGAAACTGGCCTGAATTTCCAAAAATAACATCCTAGGCCAAGCACATTGTGCTTTTAAGACACTGGGATGTTTCCAAAAAGCCTCCATAAACCCCAATAAATATAAGCAGAGTTAATCTTTGAGGAAACTTGGATATTCTAAATCCCAAACCAGCAGTAATAATATGTTTTCAATCAACGTACGCTTGTGGCTGGGTGTAGTAGCTGTCATAGGATTCATAGCCTGGCTCTGTGTAGCTCTCGTCATAAGACTGAGGACATGGAAAATACAATCAGTCCACAGCAGCAAAACTTACATAAAAAGATATATTTTCTAAAAAATAAACATACATAGTCTTCATACGACTCTTGGGCCGGAGGGTGCGGTGCTGTTGGAGGGGGCATCCGCTGAGCCTGGGCGGGTGGACGGGCACGGTTGGAAGCTGCACCTCTAGGCGGCTGGGCTGATGGTCCACCTCGACCTGCAGGAGCTCCCCTTGTGGCTCCACCTCGTGGGGGACCACCACGGCCACCTCCACGTGGGGGCATACCACGACCCCTGCAAGGGTAAAAAGTGTTAATCGTCTACTCACCCAAAACTACAAAATGGAAGTTCATTGCATTAAATGTATACTTAACAGCTCAAACTAACAATCACAATGAATATTAAATAGGTGTATGTTACCTGGGTGCCCCAGGAGGAGGAAGACCTCCACGGCCTCTGATGGGTGGCCCTCCTCGACCTCTGCCCCCATGTTCCTGACCCCCATTTAGATACTTCATCTCCATGAACTGCTCCTGGCAAATATCATCCATCATGTCCTGTGAGACAGGCACAGCTCACTAACATGCCAACACAGACAATCGACAAGAACATCCATCTCAGATGCAAATAATGGTTTCTACAAAATCCGATGCTTATAGAGTTGGACAACAACTATGTCTCTTAACAATGAAGAACCAGCATTATGCCTTGAGAAACAAACTTTCATAGCTCACATGAGGCCATTAGAACAGGGTATAGAAGTTTGTTCTCAAAGGGGAAACATTTAGGAAAACCTTTCAGTCACTCAATCCAGCCACAGGAGTGAGCACAAAAACAACTGATATCCGATTAAATATTAATCTGCAGCCACGGGCAAAGCAAGTAGAGCTACAATCCAACAATGCAGGCATTTTGGACTAACAATTGCCCATTTGGAATTGATAAATCACAGTACTATAAACAACGAAACTTAGACAAAACATATTATTAGCACTTCACTGCAAAACATGATCTCTGGGCTGCCTTTCTTGAATCCAGAGCGTATTTCAGTACTTACAGGGAACAAGAACTTTTTGATCTCCTCCATGGCATGAGCCATGCGCATGTACGCCTCAGGAACAGGAGCAAACACCTCGATGAACACATGAAGCTCCATGGACAAGTGTGCATACTTCGGCTCTCCACTGTTTCTCAATTCATCCTCCTGAACAACACAGAAATAAGTTCAGCAGATCCAATTTACCTGTTGTGTCACTTATCCTTCACTCACACACAGCTAGAGAACCAAAACATGAATCAAATAGCCTAAAATCATCCTTTTAATTTTTTCAAGTTTAAAGCTACCTAAGAAAAAAGTTTCTTGCAGCAATCATTCATGCTTTTAAAAATAACCTCTATTGCATTTTACCTTGGTTTTGTCCCTCATGGATCCTTTCCCCAGCACAGAGATCTTAGCGCCCGTCTCTTCCTGCAGTCTCTTGATGGTGTTCCCCTGTGGTCCAAGGATCTTTCCAACAAAGTTAAACTGCACAAAGCAACAAAATTAAATATTAAACCCACAGCTTTTGAAAAAATCTACAGCTCTCAACTTAGCCTGCCTGTACTTGTTTTCAAGGACTGAAAACTCAAGTGTAATCTTTGATTAAATGAAATGCAAACAGATCAAAGGCTGGAGTTGTGCTCTCCTCGACACCAAAGCATGGGGTAACATTAGGCAGTCTGTGAACTTGAGGACACAACTGAAATACGAGGGGGAAAAAACCAAGTGCCACTCTACAAAAAGAAAGAGGGAAGTCAAATATTTAACAGCAGTAAGATGTGCAGCTGTCAGGTGTGTTACAAAAGGTCACAAATGAAAGATCTAAAGCCGCAGGATGGTACTCGGTGTGTTTACACCGCAGGAACCAGGGTCTAAACGAATTTCCGGGTAAAAATTTCCCCCACAGAAAGTCCCTGCTGGCGAGGTAGTACTTTTTCAGAGTTCAGGAACTTTTGGGGTGGGACTTGTGCACTGAACATGCTGATTGGTTCTTACCACTTGTTCTTTCCGCCCGATGGCGCACGCTCGTCCCATCCATCTCACAGTCAATGTCCGCTGATAACAAACGTCTACTTCTATATCTAGCATTACGAGCTTTCTGAATACGCTTTGGATGCTCATCTCTTTTCTGCCATTTTGCAATCAAAACAAACGCGCAAACTGGGAAGAGCAGTCTTCCCACCTTGGACCAGTACTTTAGTCGGCAGTGTAAACGCAGTAAGCAAGCGGTCTGGGGCAAAAAAAGTTCCTAGGAAATAAGTTCCTGGGACAAATAGTTTCTGGTAATTGCGGTGGAAACGCGGCTTAACAGATCGTAAGAATTAAGCACCATGACCAGTCACGCCTATTTCACATACACGCATAATACTTAACAAAAAAAGGGCAAAAGGTTAAATTCTAAAAAAGTGGAGAAAAAAAGAATAAAAATCCAGCTAGACAGCTGATCTGGCAAGCAAACTTTAAACAGAAGATCAAAGTAAAACACTGCCATGCACTCTAAAACATCAGAGGACTCAAACAAACGGTCCGATCGCCTCTGGCAGCTAAGCTATCATTGGACATGCACAAAGAAACATGCATTTTGAAAATATCTTAAGCCACTTCATGACAAATTACAGGCCTTTCACAGGTTTTGGCAATCAAGGCAAGTTTATCTAATCAAAGGTTTGCAAATTTGTTAAAATGCATCCCTGGTGATTGTAGACTAATAACTTTTCAAAACTAATTAAATTCTATAAACAATTTCTACTTGGTCTCAAATGTTTGCACAAATCGAATACCACCCAAGAATCCTCAGGTGACCTTTGCTTGCGATTACGGAGGTGTTACACATTCCTTCAACACCAGATCGGAAGCAGCACACATGTAAAGGAGTAAATCAGCAGAGGAAACATGTTCCTAAATACCAAAATGACACTCACCTTAGGGTACTGCTTGACAGGTATGAGAACCCTTTCCTTCAGTTTGATGTTTTTCGTCGTAAAGAGGTCCAGGTAGCTTTCTGAGTCTTTCTCGGTCTCCCCATTTTGGACCCTTTCAATTTCTAAAAAGCACAAGAAACATTTTTAGGCATGAGATTTGAACATTTAAAATGCAAATACTAAAACTACCACTACCAATCAACTAAAATACATTTTCAAACTGATTCCACTAAAGACATTTACAAATTTCTTGACTTCTACATTAGGCAAGGTCAGAAACTTATCGCAGTTAAAATCGGCAAAAGGCAGTTTTGCCCTTTCTTTTTAAGATTAAAACCCTAATAAATGCATGAATCATATATATTCACTGATAATATACATATTTATGACGTTTCTCCTCATAACATGCAGGATAATGATTACAATTTTATAGGCCTGAAATATTCTCTAGGTCATTTTACTTATATGGCAAATGTATGCCTGAGATTTAAGTGTTTGTTTCAGGTTGCAAAGAAAAGTGTTTGCCTCAAAGACAAAGCAATCAATAGACTCAGCTTCACTAGGTGACTTTTCAATGCAAGTCTGATGCTAAACACTGCACATTTATTTACACGCCTCTGTAAATGTAACTTATGGAAGCGATCTGCTGATATAAACCACAAGATACAGTTAAACTCCCACTACACTGATGATATAAGAAGTGGTGAAACGAGGCCAGGAAAAGACATTTCCTACAACAAAAAAATCCATTTCATCTCCAGATGCAACACTTCCCACACTGAAGGCACATATGGTCCTGAACATGTTTTTATTACAACGACAAATCTAAAACTTAAGATTTTCAGCCGTCTTCAATTTAATTTGATCGGGGCTTGGACGATTTCATCTAAAGCTTTCCAGATTTTCCAGTTTAGTCAAACCACGATAAGCGCATGCAGGTTGGGACTCGATGTGTAACGTAGCTACAAAAAACGCCACGTTGGCCCATTAGATACAGACCCCTCCTAACAAACAAACAAACAAACAATACTGTAAGGTAAAACTTTTTTCCTTAATTGTATTGCAGTACGACTCGCTTAAATCACGACTGTGTATTTTTTTTTTATTACACTGAATATGATTGGTTAAAAAAACATTAAGACTGATTATTAGGTAACTTATCGTTAAGTTGTATAAATACGTAACGATATAGCTGCTACAGTTCGGTTAAACCCAATCCAGCACGCGGCTCACACAGTGTACTCGAGCGGAAATGGGAATGTTACCCGGGGGATGACGGGGTAAAACTATACAGCATTACGGCTTTCGACCGTGCAAAGTGGAGTATGATACAAATAACTGATATCATCCAGGAAACGTGGAGTTTTCCCCTCCGGGGAGAAAAAAAATCATTAGCTAAACGCCGAAAATGGCTTCGGCAGCACGTGCCTGGTTCAAGCTAAGTACACGAACCCCCTCCTCGCGCACTGAAACGAGACTTTGTAACGGTCGCCCTCCGTCCCACGAACGACTACAGTCGTGTAAGTGGCTTCCCTCCAAACAAAACTGCTATTTACCAACATACCGAAAAGTTACCAAGAAAACAAGTGCATATCTCCCTCCTTCGTTTTCACAATTGGCTTTTACCTGCGGATATAAGTTTCGTGGCGTGTGTGAACGAGGCGTCCAGGGTGTCTCGTTCCGCCAGCAGCTGCGGGAGGTATTTGTTCTCGCTCTCCATGTTGAGTTTGTAAGTAAATGAAGGTTTAAACACCAAACGTCCGACTGTGAAACTATTTTAGTATCCACGTCCTGCAAGAGGTAATGAGAACACACGCGTGACTGCTGATGAAGACCGTAGTGAGTCGTAATGGCTCCTGTTCTCCGCGGTGCGGCTGGAAACAGATGAACAAAAGCTCGAGACGAGAGCAAATGACTTGAACGAGCGGAAATTACGTCACCAAAACTAGATGTATGGAACCGCCCACTTTGATGTGAAAGTTTTTAGAATGTCACTCTCTTCAAAATTTATTTTGCTTTGGGTAGAGGTTGTCTGTCCTATTCATTAATTCACAAACACACACATACATAGTATTATAATACTAATATAAAATATCGAAACACACACACGTCTGGTTTACTATCTTTGTGGGGACTCTCCATGGACGTAATGGTTTTTAAACTGTACAAACTGTAACCCTATCCCCAAACCTACCCATCACAAGAAACATTCTGCATTTTTACATTTAAAAAAAAAATAATAATTCTGAAAAACTTCAATTTAGGTCCCCACAGTCACACGAGTCATGAGTCTGTGTGCATTCAGGTTTAAGTTTAAGGATAGAAAAACATGTACACACACACACACACACACATATTAGTGCTGGTTCTGGACAAGGAAAATGATCCATGTTCTTCCATTAAATGCAAGGCTGTTATGCAAGAATTAATAAGCTGCTATGCTGTCTGGTTTTCAGAGACATCCACAAAGGTTTGCATAAGCTTCTGGGCTCATCTAAGTGGTAAATTATGAAGAGATAGCGCGCACGCTACATAATGTAATGTTTGCTGCCCCCCTCTGGATAAAAACGGAAAATGAATTACATTCAGGGGTTGGTGGTGGGGAAAATTGTAAACATGAACAATTTGCCTATCCATTGAACAATAAATTATAATATAGCAATGACTTCTAATATAGTAATGATTTTAGCATGATTTACACACTTATGTATCCATTATATTTACAAGCCAATCCTGATATAAGAGGCTATATATCAAATTTTAAGTCTACACTATTACACTATTATTATTTTCAGGGCATCCTTCAATTAAACTCATTGGCTTGAGCATTCTCTCTACTGTAAACACAGTTTCTCAATGCCAGTGTTAGCGAGCAGTGAGGTCAGCCGTGGCTCAGCATTGCTAGGAGGCCAGTGAAACCTTTTTGTCCAGTGAAAGCTTTCAGAACTGTCACACCTGCTTAGGTCTTTAGCACCACTACCACCAACCTCCGCTCCCCTTTTCCCCTCAGCCTCGCTCAAGGTTAACACACTCTGTTTGTGCATGTCAGACTATTCAAACTCGTAAAGAAGTGGCTGCTGACTGCTGTGGCCTTTGAGCTTGGCATATATTTCTCTCTCTCTATATATATATATATTTTTTTTAGCTTTATAGCCTCATTCTCTCTTTTCCAGGGCCGTTGTTTAAATTTAGGGCCCATGCAAGACAAAATATTTATAGGTGAGCCCACTTTACGTACTTACTTACTTTGTTTACTGTTAGTTTATTTCCCTGATGTTTCTGTCACATCCTTTAATTTAAAAAAGCATTTGAAGATAATTTTAGCTTAAAAAAAAATGATCATCTTCTAAGCACCTGTTAGCAGAAAACTTGTGACAGAACATCCTGTGACCTGAGACAAACACTTCCATTTTTTTATATAAGCTGTGACAACACATTTAACAAATCTCGTCTGCTCTGCTGACAAATGACACATCAATTATGTTTAGGATGTGCAATTCAAAGGAAGTTTTAATTTAAGTTACTGAAATCTATAGGAGAACGCACCTTTCAATGTCAATACAGTGGTACACAGGTAAAATAATTGAGTTACACACTATTAACACAATATTAATTTTATAGTACACTGATTAACAAATTAGTAAGTGATAGCACTCAGTTGAATGTGGTTGTTCACCATTAGCTTTTTTTTCTTTCTAAATGAGCTGACCTGTATAACACACTTCTCAACATGTCACAGGTTCACAGGAGATCAGATAATTAATCCACACAGGGTTTGATTCCCTAATGGTGCTGGAATCACCTGCTTTTCCACACAAGCACAAACACATCCTGAGAATGAAGTGCCATGTGTAATGTTCTTTCCCCGCTCTCTCTTTGATCAGTTTTGATATAGTACAAGTCTCTATAGTGCTGGTTTCACCAGCAGACCTGTAATGATAAAGAGAGATCGGGAAAAATACAGATGTTCTCAGTCGGTTCAGAGCCTGAAATTTCAGTTTCCTTATAATGATCCTTACTGCAAGAATGTCTTTGTGATTTCTCAGTTTGGTTGCTGCGCTACATAACGTTAAAATGCAATGCACACTGGGAGTATCGAGCTGGATTTGAGTCAGGTTCAAGAAAATAAAGGGCTTGTTTTGAAAAGAGAGAAGTTAGAGATGATGATGATGATGAGTACTAAATTATAAAACATAGTGCCATGAAATTATAATGAGCAATTACAGAGTAGCGATTTGAGAGCTTCATAATGATTTCAAATCCCTTTTGAAGTTTGCAAGTTCACCCCTTGTTTGTGTTACAGGGAATTTCAAGGTTTTCTGAGAGAAAAAAATAATACAAATAGATGGACAGAGATTTTAGAAGAAGGAAAAATCTCAAAAGAAGATCTTTCTTCTTTGGCAGCAATTCGATTACATGGAGAGAATACAAATGAAACAACTGTGAAACATGAGAAGAGATAATTTGCTAAAACAAATAAATGTTTTGGGTTTTTTTTTTACTTAAATTTCATAAATTGTGTTATTAAGTACTGTAAAAAATATTTTCAAGTTTTGTTATCACAACATATTTTCTTTTGTCAAATCAACTTTATAATAATTTATTTAGTTCAGATAACTTATTATTTTGAGTTTCTGATGGTTAAATAAATCTACTTCATTGTATTAACCCATTTTTTCCAGTTCAATCAACTTAAAATTTTAAGGCAACCCGGGTTAATTACTTTTTTAAGTTAAACCAACAATATTTTTTACAGTGTAGTAATCATAACATTTTTTCTTTTGTCAAATCAACTTAAATAATTTATTTAGTTCAGATAACATGTAATTTTGAGTTTCTGATGGTTAAATTAATCTCCTTCATTGTATTAACTCACTTTTTCCAGTTCTATTAACTTAAAATTTTAAAGCAACCAGGTTACTTACTTTTTTAAGTTAAACCATCAATATTTTTTTTACAATGTAATAACAATCAAACTTCAGCTGGGTTGTGTTAGTTAAAGCTGAAGTCCTTAGCTTTTTGGGGGTTAAAAATGATCCAAAATACATTGAGAAAATACATAACCAGTGTTCAAAAGTATCTGCTTGCCTTATGAAACTTTCTTTTTTATTCTGCATGGTCCACCTGACAAAACACACAATGTCGACAAGCAGTTTGAGGGAGCCGCAGGCATGGTTTGAAGTAAATGGTATACTGCCAGCTTTACTTTGCTCATGAACTCAGCCATATACCCCAAGTCATGATTCGGCTGGCGTATTCTGTAAGCTATGAAGCCGCATAGCCTCATATGAACTACTGAGCAGCCAACCAAATTAGGGTTACTAGCTAGTAATTTCCTTTTCTTCTTACTTTGAATTTGTCCCGTCCTTTAGACGGCCTCCATGTGGTGTTTGTCATTCATGTCACTCACTGTGGGCCTTCATTGGGAAGTGTGCCAGAGCATTAAAAGACTTTATAATTACTCGTGCATCAAGATTAGCCCATCCAAACAGATTTCTCTTCTCCCCCCTGACTTTAGGCGATCTATGTGTATTGAAACCAAGTAGACATTTAAGTATCTGCAAGGTCAGTGACATTAGTTGTGCAGTTCCCTTGGGGGAACCTCGAACGCTAAAGGTACTAATTATCGCTCACACGCTGTGCATTTTCAAAGAGCAGACGCTGATAAGATGCGAACCGGCAACGGACCATGGTGTGTGCGTGTATTTGCATAATTCAAAAGCTAGGCTGAATATAAGCCTAATGTAAATCATCAACGGCCTACAGTGGAGATTAACCAGAAGAGAAAGGAAGGAGAGCACCATGAGTAAACTATGCCACACGGACCAGGCCAGACTGTGTCTGATCCTAATCGCTTGTCAACGAATCAACAAGAGCCCTCAGCACTTGACATCAAGACCTTGAGTATGGTTATCACCCTCGAGTGTTGTCTCAATGTCAGGCTGACTGTGTTCACGAGCACATATGCACACCCCCTCGTTCAGTGCCTGCCAAACACACAAACACTCGGAGGACAGAGGGTGTAAATGACCTTTTAGAGCACAGGGTTGAAAGACAGCAAAGAGCAAAGCAGGAATATCAATTCATGTAGTCACTTCGCATCCATTGTCCAAATTGCCCGTATGGCCATGAGAATATTTTTTCTTTTTAAATATACATCAAAAACGTATACATTTCAAATAAATACTGTAATTTTTTTCACACAAATAATAAGCAGCACAACTGTTTACAATACTGATAATAATAAGAAACGTTTCTACAGCAGCCAAATCAGCATATTAGAATAATTTCTGAAGGATCATGTGACACTGAAGACTGGAGTAATGATGCTGGAATACCATTACAGGAAAAAATTACATTTCAAAATATATTCAAATAAAAACTGGTGTTTTAATTTGTAATAATATTTCACAATATAATTGTTATTACTTTTGATTAAATAAATGCAGTCTTGATGAACATAAGAGACTATTTTTTTTAAAAATCTTACCATCCACAAACGTTTGCACTGTAAAAAAATATTTTCATGATTTGTAATCACAACATTTTTTTCTTTTGTCAAATCAACTAATTTATGTAGTTCAGATAACATATTTTGAGTTTCTGATGATTAAATCAATCTCCTTCATTGTATTAACTCAATTTTTCCATTGCGATGAACTTAAAATTTTAAGGCAACCAGGTTACTTATTTTTTTAAGTTAAACCAACAATATTTTTTTTACAGTGCAGTAGTAGTACTGATTTTTATTTTAACAGAAATTTCCTCACCCTTTAAAGTATATTTTGTAAAATATATTGAATCTGAAGGTGAAAAACAATTAAACTGATCTTTTCTGAGGGTATTTTACTGAGCAATATATTACATCAGCTAGCTTCCCGATTGTATTCAATTCAGGTTTGTTACG